GAAGCCACAGCAACCATGGAAGTTTGAAAATCAAACAAATGTGTAAATCACAGGATGAATGATTTTGTGTTGTTTTGAGAAAACAGGCTTTTGTTATAGTCGATGGTTTTGTGTTTGGAGATGACATACTGTGGCCCAAACATCGGCTCCCAGACAAGCAAGATCTGGAAACGGGACACTACTGACATCAGAGACAATTAACACCATTAATCCATGACGGGGGAAGTCAGCACTGCTGCTCTACTGATACACCGAGACAGACTAATGATTTGCTCTTTGTAGTTTAATCAATTGCTATCTGTGTGTGTTTTGAGGACTTTTCCCTACACTATGCCGGTTCAGCAGTGCTAACCAGATATACGTGGGGACGGTGTGTACTCAGCAGGTTAGGAGGCTGTTGGTTCGAATCCTAGGGTCAGAAAAATGACTTCACTATTGGGCACTTAACCCCCATTTGCCCCAGGAACCATCTGACCCTATATCACCTCTTGAAAATACACAGAGGTACATTCTGCTGAGTCAGAGTCTGAACGAGCCAGCGCTTTAGAATTCACGAGGAGCGGCTCCCCAGAATGAGCGTGCACGCGTGTACACGGCGAGGAGCGGCTCCCCAGAATGAGCGTGCACGTGTGCCCTCCTCACTTACAGGATCCACACCAGGCTGTTGTGCAGGTCCGGGTCCACAGACTCCATGTCATCCAGGGTAATGGGCTTTCCCAGAAGCTGCTTGTAGAAGGGCAGCGTGAAGCCACCGTCGATATAGTGGCCGTGAAACACGGCTACACCCATGATCCTCCCCACGAAGTGGAAGTAGGACAGATGCTCCTGCAGAAGGAACCATCACTACAGATTAGGCTGATAATGCTTCTGCCAAAGTGCCAATTCACAACATCTATGGTGCATTCATTATAATGCTCTACAGATGTAGCTTCAGAATAGCATCTGCACACAGCATCGTGGAAGTCTCAGGCCACAGAAGAAAACTTTCATGCTATTAATCTGGGCAATAAGTGTGTATTTGCTCAGAAAAAATACTAACACTGGAAGAAACAATTAAACTAACAACTAGGTCTCCCTCAGAAGACAGAACTAATAACTTGCTTTGGGACACTGCTGTATAATGTTTTTCAAATAGTCTTGTGGTAAATTCCTCAAGCTTTATTCACAGACAGCCCATAAAACTTTTCTGTTGACCTTGGTTGCTTTCTGCTCTTCTCACCATCCAAGCGATGCTACACAGCTTCAGTTATGTAGGTCTTAATTGTGTTTGCAGAGTATTTGTGGTTATCATGCCAGAGAAATGAAGTTTTTGCCAGTCACTTTCCTGAAGATACGGCATGATTAATTCATCGTTCTATCAATTCTGAGACGCCCCACGGTGTTTGCAGAAATGTACCCCTAGGTCATGACAAAGTCACTACCATGCTTTCAAAGGAGGCATCAACATCTCACCATCATCTTCAGATGTTCTGGTGCCCGTGTGAACCAAAAATGTCATATATGGATTCATGGCACCAGAAGACCCTTTGTCACTGGTTGTCACTGCATGATTTATGGGTCTTTGAATGGAACAAGTTCTTTCAGCTTGTTGCTTTTCCACAAGAATGGCTCTCTTGGCGCAACACATCTTACAAGCCCAACTGCTGAGTGAGGAAAATCAATGGACTTCCTTCTGTCCCTTAAAGAAGCGACTTTTAAGTACTGTTCATCATGTGCTGACAGCGTCTTGGGTCACCCACTGGGATTCTTGTCTTCAGCCTGTACAAATCGCTTTATGACGTCTTGAAGAGTTGGCCAGGCTATCACTCACTGCTAAAACTATGATAGTTTGTTTGTGTCATCTTAGCCATTTCGAAAACTCTTAAGCTACCTCAGTATTTGCAGTATTTTTTGAATTTGCTACCATACTATGTTTGGATAATCAGAAGTCAATTAAATAAGGCAATTAAGCGAGCTGGTGGTGAAATTTAAGAAATAAATTTAATGGCTGAAGTTCCTTGAGGAGATTTGGGAACCAAAGCTGCGTATATATAGGCAACCAACAGGATATTTACTTTTTGGAGAACAGACAAAATCCTTGTTACTTTGTAATTGTATTACTGTTTATTTGTATATATCCCAATGTTGATGCTTTTTTGAGCAAATATACACCTAACTGCCAGGGTACATATCTTTGAACTGCTGTCTGTAGCGACCTTAGGCCGTACGGGACCCCGTAAGTGGCCTCACCGGGTTCACAGCCGAGTCAGGGTTGATCTGCAGAGTATAGATGTCATCGCGCGAATACTGGAACAGCCCATAGTACGGATTCAGCATCTCATGGGACAGTAGGTACAGCCACTCCCTGCACAGGGAACAGCAACTTTAGTTACTGCTCAGCATCGACTCAGAGAATCACTGATCTGCGTGGAGTTTCTCACAAATCACAAGTTAAACCTTTTAAGTACTGATACAGAGACTTTTTGCAGAAAACATTGCTTTTTCTCATTAGGTTTTGTTATCCAGATACTCAGCAGGCATATGGAACTGGTTTTTTCCTGTTGTACCGAAATCGCACCAAACCATGAGCCCAAAACAATGGTCTGTACCCAAATGTGAATCTTGTGTATCATCCAGTTATCAACACACAAACCCAACCCAAATAAACGAATAAAGGGATAATTATGGTCAGCCGTTTGAATACTAAACACTCATTTCCTTAACATGCGTACCGAGCCACCCCGCCGTAATCAAGGCCTTCCTCTCCTCTGAACTTCAACATCAGCCGCTTCCACAAATCCTTCGGCCTCATCTTCATCACCTGCCGGTACGACTCCTGCAACAGGGAGAGAAACACAATTTCCCATGAGCCCCGTTTCCTGCCACTGCATGCGTGCAGTGCTTCACCAGTGTTATATTAATCCCTTAAATATTAAGTGATTTAAAAGAAAGAAAAAACATGAAACTGTAGGAGAGACCAGGGCTGAGTGTTGAATTGTTTCATTCTTATAAAAATGTAGAAAAACAAAAAAAGAAAATCCCCTTCAAAGTAAAGTTGCAGTGATTTGCTAAACATCAGTGGTGTTTGGGGGAAACGCAAAATACGCAGGAAGAAAACTGAATCCCTTTCAGCACTGGAGCCCCTTCAACAACTGTCGTCGGTCTCTCCCACACTGCAGAATTCCCGAGCACATGTGTGTTTTACAAGCAGCCAATGGCGAAATGAGAAATCCCATACATGACAGCACAGGGGTCTTCAGACTGCAGGGTGTTTCCAGGAAAAGAGCAACGCGAGAGGAGAGAGAGGCCACAGCGATGGAGTCAGAGCATCCGTTCTGTGCAGTAACACTCAGCCGAATTGCTTTTTAAATAGTTTAAAAACACACAGAACATTCATCTTCATCAAACAGTCCCCCTCTGATGATGCACTCATGGATTTTAGTGTGAGTAATCATTCTCAATCTGGTCCTTGGGGACTATCAGACAGTCCATGTTTTTGCATCCTCCCAGCTGGTCCACATTTTCGCTGCCCCCAGCTCCCAGCAAAAACGTGCACCGCCAGGGGTCCCCAACGACTGGTTTGAGAAACACCGGTCTTACCTATTTCCCCTCTTGTTGAAATCACCCAACATAGAATGTCTCCCTTGAGTAGAGCAGATAAAAACAGCGCGCCCCCCCCTCCCCCCACCCACATTTGACTGCCTATCACAGCCCAGGATGACATTCCCATACTTAAAAGGCCCCCAGAAAGTTCATGAAGAGGCCCAAATCACCACTTTGTTCCACTGAAATGGGCCCCTTTGTTACTCCTAGAAGAAGAACGGAATCTGAAACCACGCAAGACGTGACACCACGCTCCTCCACCTCAGGGGCCACCGAAACGTCTGGCGCCTCCCGGGGCCTCACCTCAAAGATCTCCTCGCGGGACACCTCGATGCGGCAGTGTCCCGCCTGCGGCTGCTGCTGCGCCAGCTCCTGCCGGAGGCTCTTCAGCTTCTGCACGAGGTCCCGCTTGTACCGGGGCACCGGCAGGCAGTCTGCCTCCTCCAGGCCCAAAACCGGGTGGGGGCGCTCCGGCTGCTGGCTGTAGCGGCTGCGGGGGACGGGCAAAGCGTCTTATAGATAAGCGACTCTACGGCAAAGTCGTCTTCAGGAGGAGCAGAAAAGCAGCATGTGAGCGTTTCGGACACATTTTCGAGAGCGGAGGCGCTACCTGACGTTGCTGTTCTGGCTCTCGATGGCGGCCCGGCAGCTGGTGGGACTCGGACTGTTCAGGACGAGAGGGCAGAACGGGCGTCAGGTTTACCGGCCGAGTGCTTCCACGCACGCAGGGAATCTGCACATCCACAGGCAAGGCAAGGCGACGGCCACATGCAGTTCGGCTGATATGCGGCATGCATGTGGGACTGCAGGATTGCAGAAACCCTTCCCCCCCGCCGCTGTCGCCGCCCCCAGCGCGTTCACCTGAGCACCCTGTGCAGGTTGGCAGAGAGCCGGGGGTCCGTGAACTGCGTGGTGCGATTGTTGTGGTCCACGAAGTAAACGCGGCCGGTGGCCGTGTTACGGATCTCCCAGCCGGGCGGCAGCGGGCCCAGCTCTTCGCAGTTCACGTTGCTGAGGTCCCTTAAAGAGAGTCGCCATGGTGACGGTCACCGACTTGGCACAGACCCCGAGGATCCCTATGCCTGGTCGTGTGACTCTGCGCCAGTATTCAGCTTTGTCTCAGGGAGCTGGGATGAGTGAAAGTCTGTGTGGAAGGCGTTTAGAGGGGCAGGTCGAGCCTTACCTGGGCACCCTGGGGTCATGCCACGTGCTGACGCCCGTCTGCGTGTGTAGGAAGTACACCTGGCCCTGCTGCGTGGTCCTCTGCTCTGTAGGGACACACGTCACAGGCCATTACGGCCACTGCCACAGGCGTGTGACACCTGTATCACCTAAACCGTCACGCAGGTGAGCACAGGTCCAAAAACACAGCTACAGACACAGGACTACAGACCCGTATCCAGAAATCAGTGCAGTTAAACCCGTAATTTTACATCCTGGCTATGCGCATGCTTCAGACGTTCCCTAAACAGGGTGGCAGGAGCCTGCTGTCTGTCCCCCCCCCCCACCATTAGTGGTCCACTCTCCCTTTCTGCGGCCTCCAGGGGGCGCCACTCACCGTAGCCCTCGGGGAGCTCAGGGTGCGTGTGCAGGTGTGTGCGGCTCATGTAATTCCTGTGCCGCTGGGATCTTACGCGCCTCTCCTGCACCCGCGGGTCCCCCACCGGACTGCAGGTGGCGCCGTTGGCCTCAGACACCGGCGTGTTCTCGTCCAGCAGGCAGCTGAGGGGCCTGACTGGGCTGGAGTACTCCGAGGCCGGCCTGCAGACGAGGCCAAGGCACCGGTCAGCTCCCCAACTCAACATCCCCTTATTCCGTTACCAAGGCGATGCGCGTGGCGCAGCGACCTCCGGGTCACATGACCATACGGACTGACCTGGTGGGCCGTTCCCACTGCGTGCTGCGCGTGATGTGATTCAGATACTGGATTCTGCCACTGGCTGTCCTCCGCTCCTCCCAGCTAAAGGAAAAAGACACACAATTACCATCTGCATTTCATTAAATAAATGGTATTTATCTTATAGACCAATGATCCCTAATCCAGTCCTCGGGGCCATGCAGACGGTCCATGTTTTTCCTCCCTCCCAGAAAATGTGGACTGTCTGGCAGGGAGCCGGGAAGGAGCAAAAACATGGGCCGTCGGCAGGGCCCAGAGGGCCGGACTGGGAAACACCAGTCTGGCCGCTCACCCGTCAGGTAGATCGTTGTCGAACAAGCGGCTGCAGTCCACCACGGACCCCCCCGAGCCGATGCAATCCCGAGACTGCAGGCTCACTGGAAGAACCAGAGGAGACTGAAGATGCTGCCCACCCCTGCTGTGACCTTTGACCCCCCACCCCCCAGATTAGGCGCCCTGATCCTGCTCACCCACAATCTGGCCCCTCACTGTGTCGCTGTCATTGGGACCCAGCTTGTTGAGGTCCAATCGCTGGTCTGTAAACAACCAGAAGAAAACTTATTTAGTTATAAAACGCTCAACAAAGCCACGCTTTCAGTGCATCTGAGTCAGTGCCAGCAAAATGGTTTTATAAAAAAATAAAATAAAATCAGCTATCCGAAAAGGACCGGTCATCCTGTGACAGCTCAGAGAGCTACGGGACCAGACCCAAAACACGCGCACATACACACACGCACACACGCACGCACACACACAGCATGCTCCAACCAGCTATTTAAGGGCTGTACGTTGAGCGTCAGCCACAGAGCACGAGGAAGCACAGGGCTGAGAAAGGCAGCTCTGTGGCGGAACGCTGTTCCTGGAAACGGAAACCACCCCCCGGGGAATTCTGGGTAATGGGAGAGGGGCCACCTGCCATCACAGCCCAGCGGAACCACCTGGAATGGCTGCATCATTTATAAGCTAAACACTTGGCTTGTGCTTTAAGTCGGACTCATCCAGGGCGCCTGGAGAGCAGCTCGAAGGGACCCACCAGGAAAAGGCAGCGTCAGCATCACGGAGATACAGGGCACAGCGATTGAGGCACAAAGAGCATCAGTTAGCAGAACAGACTGACTCCAGTCAGTCGCACCCCCCCTCCCCCCCCCGATCCTGGGAAAATAGCCACCTACAGCCAGTGTCTTTCAGCCGGCTGATGGTGTTGGACAGGAGCCTGACGCAGCCCAGGAAACCGGCGCCCTGCTTCTTGTGGATCTTCTTGTGGTTCCACACGCTGATGGTGATGGAGTCGGACTTGCCGATGTACCTGGGCGGGAGCGGAAATGAAAAGGCATTTAAAAAAAATAAATAAATAAAAGCGTGACCTTCAAAGCAGACACTGCCAGGACGGCACAGGCTGCACTGGGGGTGGGGGGGCTCACACAAATCACACAATCACACGCACAAAGCCCTGCTAGCAAATTCTACTAAAACATCGAGCTGAGACAGCAGCCCCCGTCAGAATGACAGCTGTGTGGGCGAGGACGGATCCCATCACAGAATAAGCAGGATGTGGAATCCCACAATCACTACTGGGATGTGGGGGGGGTGGTTTTTAGGGCATTTCCCAGAAAAGACAGAACGACCCTGGGCGTGTTCGACGGCGTGGGATCAGAGGAAGCCCCCTCAGTGCGCCCAGCCCCACAGAAGGCATTTACGGTAAGCACACACACACACACGCACGCACACACACACACACACACACACACACACACAGTTTGTGAAGCCCACCGGGACACACGTACAGGTCATAGTGCTGGTTCCACTTTGGGTCCAGGGTGTTCCTCACAGTGTCAGTGGAATGACACTGACCTGATCCATCCACCACCACCTTGGCAAAGGGGTCCGGGAGACCTGGTACAGAAGCAAGATCAGAACCCATGCATGCCAGCCAGAGGTCAGAGGTCAGCATTAAATGTCAAACATCATGCTGTAGATCAGTGATTCCCAGGGACCAGTGGAGGTTTTACAGTAGCAAGAACCCAGAGATCAATAGAGAACTTGTCATGCAACCGTCCCATCGCCCGAGGTGGCTGAGGAATGTAATTGATGCAGGTAACTGTACTGACATTTACGGCTTTTCATGCTGGAAGAAAGAGACAATCAGGTGTTCCTTTCAAGCCTTTAATTAGCGACAAATCAGCACTGGAAAGCCAAAAAACGTCTTTCGTATTCATGACTAATTTGGTCGTATTGGGTTTCTACTCTAAACGATACCTAAACAAAAAAAAGATTAAACAACTGTTAAATAAAAAGACCTTTAGATACAGACTTTTAACTGAACGTACACAAGTATGATCTCCTCCCAATGGACAAGATTAAGTGCTCAGTGTGCCAGCCAATCGCATAGGGGAGAGATCATGTGACCCACGTGCCTGCTTACACAACAGCTGAGCGAGTTCGTGTTAACTGATGGCTGTGCCAAACCAGCCGAGTCACACTATCCACAGGGCATCTGTGCAAAGCCACACACACAGACAGACACAGAGGGTGCTGCCTAGGTGGTGACCAAAGTGTCCTTGTCGAAATGGGGAAGAAACGTACCCAAGATGCATCGTGGATTCGGGCCAGAACAGAGGGAGACCGAACCACACTATTCCGGACAAGTACATCTCCACTATGGTTCTGTCTGGCCCAACACGGCTCGACCGGGCTGTTGATTTATTAACACCCAGAATGCACTTTGCTTTGTTGCCTAGGAACCCATAGTGGCAGGCCACATGAGACTTAAGTAATTTGCCTTTAAAAGAACAACAAATAAATCTCAGTTTAGGTAACTTCACAGAAGATCTCCGTTTCCAACTGTCCTCACTCCAACAGAGCCTGGACACCCCACACCAGTTCCAGCCATGTAACGCTGAGCGCGGCTTTACAAACTGTAAAGTGACCCAAAATCTGTATTCCTCCCGAGACGGGCTTCAAAGCAGACGGCTTTTGACAAAAAAAAAAAAAAAAAGATCATTTGCATGGTGCTATGTGACAGAAATAGACCTTTTTAAATGGGTTACTTACGAAAGAAGTCTTTCTTCACCAGGTTTTTCGCACAAAGGACTGTGAAAGAAAAACAAAACATAAGTTACCATTTTTTTAGAGACTCACTCACTGTCTCCCTGTGTGCACATCATTACACATCATTACACATCATTACATTGGCAGATTACCTCCAAATGCAAAACTGCAGTACCTCGATAAAAAAAGAAACCCAACAAGGAATGCGAATGAAAGGAACACGTGAAAGAAAATGTCAGTTTTTAATCCAAAAATTGATGTGTTCTGCATGTAGTATAACAGAAAATAGAATTAAGCGAGAGCATGAATGTGACGCCCTGAATCCCTTCTCACGGTTCCTCCAGTCCGGCGTGAACGTCTGAAGCTGCCATAGCGATGGGCAGCAAAGCATTCAAATCGCTTCATCACCCCCGCCACCCCCCCGGACACAGAACTCCAGCTGGCCAGGGATGCTGTTGCTGCAGCAACGGCCAGCTTTCAAAACAAAGGGAACTGACCATTTCTGGAAAGCTAACAAGACGCACGTGCTCAGAATGCCATGCTCAGAATGCCATGCTCAGAATGCCACAGGAAGTCACCATCCGCAGGCGTAGCACACACTCTCAGACGGGCGTCTTTCAGTGAAACCATGCAGGCTGAACGCCTCCATCTTGGAAACAGGAATCCACCCGGGATTTGAACTTACAACCTGCTGTGCCACCTGCTGACATCAGTTAAAACTCATGGGGGCCCTTAATGGCTAACACTGTAATGACATCACACAGCAGGTCAAGACCTTCGGAATGCCATAAGGGAAGTTCAGCCTCCTCTTCCTCAAGCCCACAATTCAGGAACCCCAGTCAGCTCTCCGACTCCATACACCCGCGATTCCCAATCCGGTCCTCGGGGATCCACAAACGGTTCACGTTTTTGCTTCCTTTTTTGCTAACCCTACCGGGTGCTGGGAGGGAACAGAAACATGGACCGACTATGGGTCCCCAAGAACCGGTTTGGTTACCCAGCGAGGTGCTGCCTCGCACCAGCACTGCAGGGCATGGAATCCCCAGCTTCCGAAGGCAGGGACCTCGTCGTGTAATTACTCTCGACGCATCTGTCATGAGATATGTACTTAAATGTCATGCTGAATAATGGCTTCAAGAAATGGACAAAGAAAAGGGTCATGCTGTGTTAAGCAGTAAAACACTTTCCAGCGACTTGACTCCATTCATTTATGCCACTCAAAATTAATCTCCAGCCCGACTGTACCTGCATTCCAGTGATACTGCTGTGATGTCCGGCAGAGATAAGAAGGGAGACCCATGCATTTCTAACGAGACCTAGATAGTACAGACATCTGATTGCAGCACACTGACGCAGGCAGACTGGGATCATTTTAACAGGAGTAGGACCGGCTGACGGAGAGCCACCCTGAAGGCACCTAAGACACGTCCCCGTCAGGTCCCCAGTCCTCCAAAAGGGCACAGATTGTTCTCAGGTTTCACTCAATAACCAGGTGCTGCCACAGTACTTCTGGAACAACACTTATGGGATCTGGACCCTTAAAACACAAGTGAGAAAAGAGACACACACACATACCGATTCGGACAGATACATCACTTCCCTGAAAAAATAACCAGCCTTGGTCTCTTGCGTTAAAGGCCCACAATTGTCCAGAGAGAGCAGTGAGCGTCTCTCCAGCTTGGCGTAAATCTTTCATCAGTTGCTGATGTCGATTTGAAGAGCTCCCCGGCCCTTCCCTTCCCTTCCCCGTTCCACATAAAGTATGTTCACAGAAGCACAAACCTAAATATACCCGATGCGGCCTGGAACACAGATCTTTCTAGAGCCCTGACCTGCCTGAGAGAAAACCAGAAACACCCCCTCCCCTGCCTGTTGTGAGCACTCCATACACTGACAGCTGAACAGGGCATTTCTTGGGCATCTTAGTAAAAAAAAAAAAAAAAAAAGGCTGGATTTCCTCATCCAAGAACAAGGCAAACCCAAGAGGAAATACATGGCTGTGGGGATCTGTTCATTTACTCTAATGGGAGATCCATCCATCACACTAATTGGGCACGGGTACACCAGTATTACTTCATCACTTTCTATTGGCTCTTTCACACAATCCGGTGGTCCGTTTTTTTAATGCACATTCAGAACATTAGCTGATTTTAAAGGAGAAGAAAAATAAGATCTGAAAATGTGCACAAGCCCAGAGTAAACGATGATAGCTTTGTCTGCTTAAAGCATAAACCGAACTAAAGTGGGCAAAACCAGGACCGGCACTGCGACCATGCGTCCAAACATCATTGGGACTGTGTTATGTCTGTGAAGACCATCTCATTACTTAAGCATCTGCTGAGATGCTGCGGTGAAGGCACTATCAACATCTGAATGTAGAACTTGGGAGGCCGTCATAAGTGGCCATTGTTGATTGTCAAGGATAGAGGCAACACTGTAATGGAAATAATAAGAAAAGCAAGACAAGACTAGAGGGATATACCTGCTAGTCTGTCAGATGAACATCCAGATCCTAAAAAAGACCATACATCACACATCAAGTTTTCAAGACAGTGAAGAAAATGCAGACACTCCCCAGGTTATGATGGTCCGTGTTACGATATTTCGACTCTACAATGGGCATGATTATTCAATAAATTATGAGATATTCAACACTATTATAAAATAGGCTTTGTGTTAAGGATTTTGCCCAACTGTAGGCTAATGTAAGTATGTTTAAGGTAGGCTAGACTGTGATGTTTGTTTGGTTAGGTGTACTGCATTGAACTGCATTTTAGTTTATTGGAACGTAACGCTATCGTAACCCAGGGATCACCTGTATGTCCTTTTCCTTCATCACACAAGAAAAGCCTGTATTTCCACTTCCCGTTACTGGCAAAAGCTTCTTTGAACTCACGGAAGTAAAAAGGCACAAAAAAAAAGTAGCTAGTGTAATGGAGATTTGTTAAGCTGTTTTTCCTGTGGGGCATTCTTCCCAACACACATGCCCTGTGTACATCCCATCACATGCCATTGCTGCCGGACCGCGTCACCATGGCAACGGGAACATCAAGTCAAAAGGCAGGCGGAGATTTTCCCTCCATTGGTGCTGGCACGCTTCCTCGAGCACACGGCCCGCCAAGACTCGTTTACAGAGCAGGGACCCCACGCTCAGCGAATTCCGCTTCAGCTGACCGAAATATACAGCAAACATCAAAACGCATCTTCCCTCCGAGGAGTGAATGGAGCAGAAAAGTAGGTAATTAGATATAAAGCTGTGGGGACAGTGACACGCAGAGTAATCAGAAGGCGCATTTGACAAGGAACGCGTCGTCTTCCATTAAAAGCGGAATTGAGGAAGCGCAGTGGAATTTGAAAATGTGTCGCCGTTTCAGGATGAGCCCAAAGACATCCCTCTGTGGGTCTGAGAAAGCCCCATCAGAAATCCCATCGTGATCGATGGGCGAAAGTTCAATAAAAAAAACAAAACTAATAAACTAGTGAATAAACTAATTAAAATAAAAAGTTTTACGTTGACACTAGTTTCCCCTCCTGATATCAGCAGATCTGATCAGGACAGGGGAGTCTTCACGTCATATTACATTATTCTACTTTAAGTAAAAATGACCAGAACTCAGAGAAGCCTCCATTGACATAATGTGACAGTTTCCCTGCAATAAGCCAATTTCTTGTGAATGAACCAGGCATGTGGACGTTCAGCATGCCAAGCGCCCCGTGCTTCCCAAGGTCCTAGTGCACCTCGGATCCCATGCCCTGCCCCAGGCAGCACTGCTCTGGCTGTTCCATGACGGCACTGTTCCGCAGCAAACAGATTCCCCAAGTCTAATCCAGAAATAGTGGGCCACTAACAGGTTATAGCTGGATCGATAGCAGCTTTGCTACATTGGTATCAATAATATATCAGTACTGCTATGAAATATAGGGCTGTCCATAAATTAAACCACCAGTAATGGCTTGCAATATGGCTTTAACATTATCAGTGAAATATGCATCGATTCGGATATCAATTTGGCCTCAGCAGTTACAAGACTGCGTCAATAATGCGCTGATGTCAGGTTTATATCCGTGTTCGTTCTGTTCGTCATTTAGCCAAGCCTATTTTCGTCACTCAGGAAAGGGATATGAATGAACTCACATGTTGGCTACGTATCGCTTTAAACCAGAGGCAGACATTTCAGGTCCAGAAAGAAAAAAATCCAGACCGGAATGTCTTTCAACCAACCAGTTGAGTATAAAGAGTCACCTTCACAGAGTACTCAACTGGTTGGTTGAAAAATAAAATCTAGGTCTGGACTTGTACTCTCTGGATCTGAAATCTCCACCTCTGCTGATTCATAATCCTGTTATAATGCTGTCCTAAGTCATAAGACCAAAGCACAGTGCTGATTGGCCACCTGTAGATCCCCATTTTTACACCTGCAACTGAAAGATTACATCAAAAGTTGAACCACATGCAGGCGGGCAGCCAGCAGAGAATGGGAGGAGTCAAACCTATTCTTCGTTAGATTGTACACGTGTAACTTTTCAATAGTTTGCATATATGACCCATGGCACGATGCAGACGTCACACAAAGACAATGGGCTATTTATTACTTGTACCGGTAATAATTTACTTTCGCGGTGAGTTTGCACTTACAGTACAGAAGAATGAAGTTTCCAAATTCTGAGGAACTATTTCAGCACAAGTGGCTGCACCTGACATTTAGCTAGTGTGCTTTCTCCATCTGCATTTTAAAGAACCCAATAAAATTACTAGGAGCAACAAGGAACCTAAAAACCCTAATACAGGAAAAAAAGGAGAAACCCTAAAACAAAAAATGCATGGAATGCGTGCAGACAATACATCCGCATGTCACGACACAATCTCCTCTGAAGAGCACCCTCTAAGGCAAGAGGTGCGTCAAAAAGGTGTGACGACAGGTGACTGTTGGGGTAAACGACGGCTCGTGCGAGACATACAGAAATATTACACACAGCAAGGACGACCGAGTCCATTCTTACAGTTGATCATGTTGACTTAACACCATGCTGGGAACTAAGGGATATATTAGCGGTGAGAATATACAAGCATTAAAAGACAATAAATCAAAAACTTCATTAATAACTATAAAATGTTGAACAGTTAAAACCATTTAAATATGATGCTTAACATTAGCTTTTGATAAAAATAAATAAATAAAACTCAAAAAAGCCTCTCGACTTTACTAAAACCCTCTTTTAAAGAGTCAGTAAAGGGGTAACTCCATCTAAGGCAGTGAAAAGGAGGACAATAGAATAAAACGTGTTTAACAGTCAAAGGATTTTACTCCACTCTTATGTCTGGCCTTTATTTACAGCCTGAATGAATGCAAAACAAACTGACCATCTATCTCAAGGTTACATCACAGGCTAAGTTTCGTCTACGCAGAGATTGTGTTACAGCTCCTGTTGTTATCACAGCACCGATGCAAGGAACCAACACAAAAAAAAAATATGTAGCCGGTCAAGCTGGAAACGTCCCGACGAAAACGCAGTTGGCAGGGAGGGGACACTGACTTACTGTCATTACAGCCATTTGATACCGTTTCCTTCCTGTAATACGCAGCATATTCAGAGAGACACAATCACTGAGATGGTCAGTGTTGTGCCAACAGGACTGATTTTTATTTTTATTTTTTTTTTAAAAAGGTTTTCAAGAAGCAGGCCATTACGGCACAGAAATGTCAACAAATAGTGATCTTAAGAACAAAGTGTGCTCCGCAGTTTCAGGTGTTTGAGACTCAGTCTGTAGGTGTTTCTCTCATGCACTTCAGTAGGTCAGAAATGGGGGGGCGGGGGGCAGCCCCTGCTACCTGTATGCTGTTGCCCCAGATAGTGGCGCCAAGGAACATTCTCTCTCTTCACCTTTTAAAAATTAGGTGACAGATCGCCATTTTAATTTCTAGCATCTCGACCCCCTTAAAAAAAAAAAAAACACAGGACATACAGTTAATCTGTGCGCGTTACAAACTGTACACTCATATTGACCATCTCACCCACCTCTACTCTCCTAAATCACCATCCACGCACTGTTCTGGGGTGAGTTTCCCTAAGCCTCCTTAACGCTACGTCGTTCGTTAGTTCTATCTTTTAACACAGAACTTAAGAACGACGTAGCGTTAAGAACGCTTCGGGAAACTTACCCCTGGTGCTTTCAAAAAAGAACACTACCATTCCTGGCAGTAGATCAGGGAAAAGACAGCTGCAAATAACAGAACTGATAAATGTGGGACTTTCCAAGAAGAACACGAGGTTGGCGATAGTGATAACGCAGGTAGTCACGGTCTGGTTTTGACTGACTGGCTAAGACTGTGTGAAAGCGAAAATAGGTCAGTGGTATATCCGTAAATGGCGGGTCAATCGGTGCTCTGGGGCGGCGGCGTCACTGCGGATCCTGACGTCCCAGAGACCCTGCAGCCTGGTTGTCCATGTATCTCTGCCCGTCTCTGCTGTTCCGAGCAGCAAACCTGCATCTCGCGCAGGAACCTTCAAATGGTCACGCTGACATCGAGCGTTTTGATCAGCTTTCCAATCTGGAGAGCAAGGCGGCTGCCGGGTGGGTGTGTGTGGGGGGGGGGGGGTCATTTGGAGGTGCCAAGCTGACGGTCACTACCCAAGAAACCTCACCGTCAGTCAGTTTCTCCATCAGTCATGGATGACGAACGATAACGGAGGGAAGGGGGGAAAAAAAACAAGAGGCATAACGGGCGTGGTACACCGAGACCAACCTATGGCGTCACAATGAGCAGGACTCATCAAGCATAGGAATCAGGCCACTAAACCCAACACCAATGCCCAGGTGGTGGTGACGTCACCATCATGGCGGACTCACATGCAGGGAGCTTCATTACATATATAAATTGCCCTTCCGTTGCCAGTGAACATTTTTTTCAGGATACGAAAGCCATTGCCCAAATAATATTTTATACAACAACCTACAACACAGGCTGGCTTTGTCCTATAGCACTGGAGTGTCTGGATCCATTTCTGCATAAATAGGTCACCCCCTGCTCAAAGAATAAGGAAACTGTTAGCCCTGTACAACATTTATATATTTAGACCCGCAGTGAACAGATTCGCGATCTGTTGCTCACTCTGAAGTTCTCGTCCGCAAAGAGTGGTACTCACCGAGATCGCTCGCATCATCCGGCCCGAACTGAAATGTACATGCCATCACTGGACAGCCCACTACAGGAGCAGGAACACCACCACTCAGACTGAATAATTCATTACATGTCGTGGCTGCATCACCAAGCTGAGCCGAAGTACAAGGTACGATTCTTATCTTTAGTGGCTTATATTTAAATAAAAGTATTCTTTATATGCACAACGCCACAATTACGAACCATCTGGCAGACCGTGAAATAGTTTGTACATTAGCAGAAATACACTGAAGTGAGAGAGCTACCAACAGATTTGTTGGGGTGTTAATTACAACATCCTTCATGGGCTGGGAACTTGAGCAGACAGGACCCATGTTTGTGTGTCTAATAAGTAAACTATCATAGCAAACTTTTAGCAGTCATCATTGACGCATCTTAATTCAGCAATAATAGTAAATAATAATAATAATCACCACTACAGCTGTTTATATGTAGCTTCGCTGCATTGATTAACAGAATTATAACAGAGTGACGAGCACAGCGCTAGTTTCAAGTCTTCGGTTGTAATTCATCAGGTTGGCATCGTATGAATGTAACGGATCTGAGATGTATTTTTACGCATGAAAGAACGACACTCTTCCCATACAGTCTTCAAAATAAAATGAACACCATTAACATGAGGATGTAATGGAATCGCAAATCCCTAAATAATAAAGCTGTTGTGCCCGTCATTCCAAGGACAAACCTCACTCAGTATTTTCTTGGGTTACGTGCTCCGATTTAAATTGGTTCAGATACTCGAATCATAAACTATGAAACTTAAAGATCTCTTCGCCTGGAATACAGGCTTTTCTTGTTTCATACTTTACACAATGTAACAAAGGTTTCGAGGGAAACCCTGAAGATGATAGTTGTACACAATTTCATAATTAAGATTGTATCAGATGTAATTTATTCTTTTTATATTCTTCAGAAACTCCCATCCCCAGTTGCTGCCCGACACATGCATCTGAAAGAGATCAAGTTAACGCACGCGTGCGCAGACACGTATAACGCTTTATGGTGAAACGGGACACTCTAGCCTTCCGAGCAAGTTTCGATTTGGCGATTGTTAAGGTGCGATTAAAACACCGGTAACACACAGTTTATATTATATATCATTCTCTACTGCCAAGTAGTTACCGATCTAAATGCTCAATGGATTCATTGCCTCTTCACGACACAGACTGGCCCTTATCCATTCATACGCATTCGTGATCTTTTAACAGACAAACCCAGTGGAGACAGTTCCATACGTCGCATTTCGTTGGTGAAACACACCACGACCACGTCGACACGTGAATTAATTCTGTTGAAATATACACGCTCATAATCTTAAACTCTCGACATCAATGTTAATTCCAGATTTACACGCGCACGAAACAATTCTTTCCTTCTCGGAGTCACACCGACGTTCAGTTTTCATCCCGTTTGATCTGTTGTAAGATGTGACTGCAGTTAATTTAAGAATACCCACAAATAAAACCCGCCAAGTACCGGTATCACACACACGAATATGGCACTAAAAGAGAGAGATCTTTAAAATAATCTGTAGCCAAGATAAACAATTCCTAGTAGCGAGAAGCAAAGACTTAAACGCTTGGGTGGTTAGAATAGGGGTAGTATATCAGCAAGCTAGCCAGGGAAACGCACTTTAAAACATGGTATTTATCAAACGCTATAAGCTAATGTTACACTATATCGTCATGGGAACATCAAACCAGGCGCCACAGATTCCGTGGGGCTTTTCCCGAAGTTACTTCAGCCCGTGAAGTTGTCTCTAGACATATAAGCTTGTCGTATTTGGGTATTCTCCCCTTATCTTCAGCACTTAATGAAACACAGAACGTTTTTTAACGTCAGTTCTGAAAAGTAATCCAACAAGGACTCCCCTCATCCCCCTAACATGTACCAAAGGCAAGCTGCAGCGCTACAAAGAAACCCGCAGGAAGGATCCATTTGCAGACGTGAGCACACTGGACGTTTAAGAAATCCTTACCTGTTAGCCGCAATTTTACCGGTCCGTTTCTCCTAACCCCCTGATTAGACATGTCCCTTCGTTTTCCAGTTTGACGTGCGGCCGCAGAATATTATCAATATGATCCCGTAAGTAGGTCTTTCGCCAGTTTCACCGTGAATAAACAGTAATGGAGTCACGACATTGTGGCCCGGATGTGCACCGCGTTGCCATTTACACACGCCAGCGTCGCGCGCGCGCCTCCACACGAACACGCAGCCGTCGGACTCGCCGAAGCTCCGCTTTCTAATTCGCTCGCCGTTCCGTGTCGTCCGAACAGAGAAATGCCGTCGCCGACACCTTCGGCATCTTCATTCAGCAGCATCAGTTAAGCAGATCGGACCGGGGAACGCGAAACGCAGCAGCGCCACCGCTGCCGAGCTCCGATGACTGAGCAAGCGAAGACTCGCGGAGTCGTCCTGGCCGGACCATCCTTTCAGGCGGCCGAGCGGCGGGCAAGTGACGTCATCACCTCCAGAAGGGCCGCCACTGCGTCGGCGCAACCCACCGAATCCCCTTGAATGGGGAATATCCAGACGCCCACTCCCCATTTACTAGTACCATTTAATATTCCTTAAGGTGCACTTAATTGGGCCAAAATAAACAGAAAATTTCTAATCGTTTATTTACATTAGTTACTGTTTATGTACAGTACAGGGAATTATGACACAAATAAAAGACAAACTAATGCGAATAAACAGGCAATCCACATATTTAAAAGTTGAAAGTGCTTTTGTCATCTGAAATGTGAAATGCATAGCCTTCAGCTGTAGTTTCTGGGGCCACAGTCAGGTCTTCCTCTTCCTGTAAAGGAAAGAAATGCATCCATTATTTAATAAATGCTACACAACCCCCCCCCCAGATGCACATGTAATCCAATCAATAACTTTAAGGCACATTATAGTTCAGAAATGTAGCTACTGACATACAACATTTCCATGGGCTTTGAACCTGCATTTGGGTCAGTCTCAAGTCCCATATGTCGCTCACCTCGCCAGAGAAATACTTCTCAATCAGGTTGAGGGCTGCTCTGTAGATCATCTCATTTTCATGGGTCTGCAGGGCTTCAAGCCGGTCCAGTCCACCGCATTCCTCGATCATTAGACACAGCTTTTCGACCTCTCCGATTTTTTCGCCTGCCTGAAAATAAAGAGAGCCAGAAAGCTGTAAATAACTCAAATCCCAGAATGCACAGTGAAGAACCAAGGCAGGTAACTAACACCAACCCAAATAAGAACCCTTAGCAGCCATAATCAAAGTGTTACCCATGACAACATCCTTAACCCCAACTGCAAAGCTACCTCATGCCAACTGTAACCCAAAATCTAAACCTAAAAAAATCAATACCACAGAAAAGATGGGTAATACAGAGAATTCCCTAACCCTTCCTTATCGCAAGTCTAAGGTTAAGCTTAATTTCAGTGATGGTCCCTCTGTGGGATGTGAACAGACCCTGCCAACATACCAAGAAGATGTTAGAGATGGCATCCAAGATGACGAGGATGGTTTTTCCATCTTTAGTGGACAGCAGGTTAAGCAGTGGTTCCAGTACATTCTGCTGAACCAGGTACACAATCTGGTTAACAGTGCCCCCACAGGTATAATTCGTTACTGCCCAGACTGCCTCCTTCTGAGTCTTGTAATCAGCCTAGAAAAAGGAAGAATAAGCAATTTACATTTTGAGCCCCATCTACTACCTTACTGAGAAATTGCACATGCTATTCTTAAGATGGCAGCATCCAGGAAGCAGAGACATACCCGTCGCAGGAGATCTACAAGGAGCGGGACCAGGCCAGCATCGATGACCTCCTGGATCTGCATATCCTTTCCAGCGGTAATATTGGACAGGGTCCAGACTGCCTCCTTCTGGATGCTGTTCTTGTTGTGACGTAACAGGGGGTGAAACATGGACAGGGCACCAGCATCCAGCACCATCTGCGTCTGTTCGTCCGTGCCGGTCACAATGTTGCCAATCGAGCGCAGCGATGGGGTCTGGAAGGTTTTTTCAAACACATGCCAGATGTCATTTAACTGCTCGCTGTACTTTTGTCCAGTGTAAATCTCCACGTTTAACAGATTTTATTTACCGACTCTAATTGCAAGGGTGACACATGCACAAACAGGTGGTCCTCTAGCTACATGTAGCCTGATCAAATCGCAGGAAGTGAACTATACTACACCTAAGCTACATTAACAGCCATGTGGGGCTCAATTATCCAGGCATGCAACTGTAACCCTTAGTAATAATTACAGTTATTCACTAGAGGAGGAGGGATTCCAGAAAGCCTTACCATAATGGAGATTTCCCCAGAGCCCAGGAACTGCACGAGCCGTGTCACAAGGCCCGTCTGCAGCACCACCTCGATGCGGTCATTCGGCCCGTCGGTGAGGTAGGACACGGCCCAGCAGGTATCTGCCAGGACTTCCTTGTCGCTGTGGTGCAGGAGTCGCACCAGCGTGGGGAGGATCTGCTGAACTGCAGCCAGTGGCGGCGCTGGGTTTTTATTGCGACAGAGGTTCGACAGCGTCCACGTGACATTCCTCAGGTACCCAAGCTGTGAAGGAACAGCACGTCATTATATCTCTCAGCAGAATGTAACCGCAAAGACGGACCGTATCCAAAATGTCTGAATTTAACAATAATCACATTATTCAAATGTGATTCTAACATGGGAAATACATCTATTCCCAAATAAATATAATTTTATTTGGCTGATGCTTTCATCCAAAGCAACGTAAAACAGTGGAAGTAGGGTCAACCAGTTCCTGGAGGAACTGGGCACTAAAGACCTTGTTCAAGGGTCCAACGGTGATTATCTCTCTGCCCACCCTAGGATTTGAACCAAGGACCTTCCTGTCACTAGCACAGTATCCTAACCCGTTGAACCCCCTGCCCTCCAGTTATTATTCACTTTTTGTAGTAGTGCAGTACCATGACCGCCCAGCAGTTGGGGGGTGGAGAGTCCAGTGGATTACATTGTTGCCTCCTGACTTCACGGCTGGGGGCACAAATCCTGCCTGCATGACTATATGTTTACATGCTTGCATGTTCTCCTGCATGTAACATGACTTTCCTCTGGTTTCCTCTTGCACTCCAAAGATGCAAACATATGCATCATTAAATTGCTTAATTAAATTGTTACTGTTAACTTGTGCAGGTAAATGCCTTGTAATGGACAGATATCCCCACCCAGGGTGTTCCCCTGCCTTGTGCTGCCTGGGGTAGGTTCCAGCCCCCCTGCAACCCGAAGTATATCTCTAACTCACCGTGAACACTGAGAGATCAGGGACTGTAAGCAGGGACAGGAGAGCAGCCACACCTCCGTGTTTGATAACCTTGTCTCTGTAGGCTGAGCCATCGCCTGAAAGGAGGATGCATTTCCAAATGAGCTTTATCAAGTCCCATCAAACTTTTATTTTCTCAGTACAATGATACAATATAAATTTTTTAGCATAGCAAAGGGTGTCACTAACTTCTTAGTAAAGAGTACTTACCAGCAATGTTACCCAAAGCCCAGATGGCCTGCTCACTGACATGGACATCCGGAGATCTGACTAGGTTTATGAAGGCTGGAACTGCCCCCCCTTCAACCACAGCTCTAGTCTGGTCTGATGTCCCAGAAGCAATGTTGGTCAGAGCCCAAGCAGCCTCAAACTGGATTGGGGGGCAACCTGCCACACCCAGGAAGCCAACAAACTTTGGGATGAGCCCAGCACTGATGATATGGTCGATTGGGGGGTGCCTCTCTCGAGACAGCAGTTTTCTGCAGTGACAAATATTGAGGTGTAAAAACACACCGAGCAGTGAATAATTTTAGCACTGGATAAAAGTTGCTTAAGAAAATTTTACCTGGCTGCCTGCGTGGCTTGCAACTGATGATCCAGATTGTTGCTGTTAACTCCAGCTACAATCTCATCCACGGTCCAGTGCTGGGCAGCCTGTAATTTTAAATTAGTATAGGTCGCGTTTTAAAGAACCGTACTCATTCGATCATGCTGTGCCACCTAATTAACTTAGCGTGAATTAGTCTAACCTGTTTGTTTTGACTCTTCTCTTGAAGCGGGGATGTCGCCTCATCCGGAAAACTGCTGACATTCCTCCGTTTAAGAATCTGCTCGTCCTTCTTCGCCTTGCGGAGTTCCACGTTGACTTCGATTCGCCTACGCCGCAGTTCCTGCCGAAAGACAAAACTAAAACTTGTAAACAATCCAGCGTATCGATTTCATAAGCAAGCATACTCGGCACTATTGAAGTGTACACGGGAACTTACGTTTGCATCCTTTCCTTTATTCTTAAATTTGTTCAGACGAATGGCGTTCTCGTTTCCAGCAGACATATTTACCAGGCGGAACAATCGGATTAATATATATATTTTTTTTTACCTTAAACAGATGCAGAATAACAACATTTAGAAAACATAACAACAATGAAGCATCTTTCTTCTTGTACTACAAGATATAGAAATACCAGATAGTCTAAGAGATGGGAATTAGATATACTAAACGGGGAATTTAATTAGATAATAAATACTAAGAAACAGATTATCTAGTTATAAGTGATGTAATTTATATAAAATCTAAACTGACTTCCAGAACTTAACGACTTACCACTGCAGGTAGGTAGCTCTCCAAGTTTAGAAAGTGTGACTGTCTAAAATGAAAAAAGGTTTTTTTAAATTGCCGGCAACAGCCACTCCTGATTGGTCAGTTCAGGTGAAAGCGTGTTCCCATTGGCCTCTTTTGAAAAATCACACCACGCTCCGGAAACGTTGTCAAGGGAAACGCTTCTACTATCGCGAGACTGCATCATTCGAAAAATACGTCATCTAAATTTGTAACCCATCCCATTTCCCTCCTTCAGGCTAAAGTCATACAGATACCTACTTTACTATTAGCCCAAAAACATTGGTACAACACGAAACAAATGGATTTATTGTCAAAACATAATTTAAATTACAATTGTTAAAAGAACTATTGTTAATTGCAACTGTTATTAAAAGACATTCTTTTAAAACCACCATCATAGCGACCCAGTGGCCTAATGGATAAGGCATCAGCCTCCGGAGCTGGGGATTGTGGGTTCGAGTCCCATCTGGGTCGGACTTCAAGTCGTTTATTTATTAACAAAAATAAATCTTAGAAACACCTCACATTGTTCCATGGTTTCGCTGTATTAAGAATCGAGCAGAAAGCGGAAATACTGCAATAGGACGTTTTTGCCCATACATTACAGCAAGACAGGAATTTTCGATTCTTCACAAACATTTTGAGATGGGTTGGTTCACGCTTCTAAAGGACTCAGAAATGTAGGTATAGGGTTTAAAATTGTACACTATACGCTGCTGAACTTTCTATGCTGGCAAAAGCACATGGCAGCCCAAACGCAAAACTCACAGAACTGACTGAATGATTAACCAAACAATCTTTACGTAAAGTAAATTGTTGAGCTACTCTTGGGTAAGGTTTTGACCAAAAGATGATACCATGTAACCTGAAACAACTGAAGCACTAGCATACACACAATTGAGACCTTGAATAGCATACATCATAAAAAGATCAAAGAGGAAGTATAAAATTCTTGTTCTTTTTCAAAGACCCCCAAAGAAGTTAGATAATATTTAATTAGGGTGCAATATCATTGTTTTTTTCAATTTCATATTCTTCTTTAGCGATTTCAGAAAAAGGCACAAATAAATGAATTCTTAAAAACGTAGACAGCTTATGCCGAGTGGAGCTCTGCCTTCCGTTTTATTAGGTTCTTTAATTAGTACATTATTTCTTGAGTTGTAATATAAAAAATAAAAAGCACAAAATTCAGTATCTGACAGGTTGTACAAACAGAATGCCTTCAAACACACTGCTTTTTAGCTTCTTTTCAGTCCATCTGTACAGTACAGGGATTTAAGTGTATTCGTCTTCTTAGCGTTCCTGCCTGGTGTTATTCAGAAGCTCAACGCCACAAGTGCGATGTTGGGGGGGAGGAGTGTGGGGGGGACACCGTTTTAACTAAAGCGACCCTGTGTGAAATAAATGGAAATTTTATCTCACTAAATAAGAATTAGAAGACATAGGGGTTGGGGGGGGGGATCAAAAACACTGCTACATCGTAAATGTAGTTCTCAGAATGTATGTTTTCCACTCTTCTGTGAGGTACAAAAAGGATATACACTGCACCATATCCTCCGTTTAACAGTCCAATATATATATATATAAAACAAAATAAAAACCAAAAGTGTGCCTAACCCCACCTGATGAGAACGTCTATGAACGTCTGTACTTTTGGGGTTGGGGCGATTCTCCATAACAAAACCACTTTTGTTCCACTTGTCCCATAATGGAGCCGACACCCACACATCGCATTCTGAACCCCCCCCCACAACAAACCACGTCCTTGAGGCAGCAAACCGCAAGACCGTTTGTGGGTCCGGTGCTTCCTTTTGGGGGTAACGAGGCGCAGGGGACGGGGGGGCTGGCTGGCTGGAGACCGCATCCAGGCACAAGTTTTAAACGTGCAGAACCCCCCAGCAAAGAAACACCCTGTTCTAAGAAGCTGGAGACTGTAGTTTGTTGTTATGAGACCTACAGAATATAGAAAAAGGGGGGAAAAAAAAGTTGAGGAGCCTTTAACATTTTATTAAACTTTTCACACTGGCCAAAAAAAAAAAAAAAAAAAAAACATACATGACAGGATGCAGAGGCGTCAAGCTTAACGGCTAAGGCACTGCAAGCTTCTGAAAAAGATCAACACTTCGTGCACCTTTAGTAAACAAGAACACCACTTGGTACTGTAAAGCTGGAAGAAGACTCATGAGGTGCCACTTGTATTATTTAAAGCAGTGATTCCCAATCCAGTCCTCGGGGACCCACACTCGGTCCCTGGTTTTGCTCCCTCCCAAACAGTCCACATTTTTGCTCCCTCCCAAACAGTCCACATTTTTGCTCCCTCCCTGCTCCCTGACTGACTGAGGGTCCCTGAGAACCAGATTGGGAAATGCTAACTTGAAACATTGATTTTTCTTTAACCATAAAACAATCCTTCACAAAAGGATTTAAGAGAATATGCCTTCTCACTATACACGCAAACTGGCCAAAAGTTCCTCCCCAGAAGGGCCAAGTCACAATTTAAAACGACCCTATAAGGACAAGCATAACGCTTTTAGGAGAAGATTAGCTCATGGGAGTTTTATTTACACGAAAATGTTCTGAGGGCAGAAGGAAAATAGTTGATTACCTCTCTGAACCAATCAGACAGCAGAAGAGGTGGGTACAAGCAACTAGAGGAGGCGGGACCAACCAATCACATGTCTTGATCCCACCTCCTCTACAATTTTTCCTTCTGCCCTCAGAGCATGGTTGTGTAAGTCAAAGTCCCACGAGCAGAAGAGCAAAAATGTTGCTATCAAATCGTCTATACATGAACAGAATCAGCTTTAGGGCTGAGACAACTGAATGCTATGGGAAAGGGCGCAGCAAATCTGAAACTTAATTTACATATCTCTCGCAATAAAATCTTTTTAAATATTCATATTTTATATATATATTTAAACAAATGTGAATACAAATGGACCCTCAAATAAAAACCAACAATGCTTTAAAGTAGCATTCTGATCCAAGTGCTTGTTTACTAACATATTACATGCATGTATAAGGATTCACATTATATTTAGAGGTCATCTTTGTCACAGGTAGTAAAACAGTGTAAAAAAAAAAAAAAAGTCACCAATTCCACTTCACTTTGTTTTGGGAATATGGCTGCCAAAACCACAATGCTCACTAGGCATATCAGGCATTTGGCTAATTGCAAAACGACTGGATTTTAATTTAAATGCTCTGGTTTCTCCATGCCCCCAGAAAGCAAACCCTATAGAATTTATGCTGTCCACAGAACAGCAGATTCCATGATTTAAACGATACAGTGACCCCCAGCATCCAGGTTAGATTCCAGCTATGACGTCACTTACGACGTCACAATCTGCAAGAAAGAGAGACAATGGATGTCGTGAATAAATGCATGCGGCACACACATGGACACTCAACGCAGGTGTTAAGGAAAGCCGCTTATGCAACACGATGACCCGCCTCAGAGGAAGGCGGGAGATAAGGAAATGTACTACGGGCGCTTAGTGCCATGCCAGTGAGATGGAGCGCAGGCAGGAAGATGGACGAGAGACGGGGGGAGACCTGAGGGCTGTGGGCGGAACGACAAACCTTTACTTACCTGCTGGCTTTGAAAGCTTTGAGTTTCTGTACAAAAGAGGACTCCAGCACCTCCGCGCACTGGTAGAAGGGCGAGTCACTGGGATTATAGTAGCGGCAGTTGTCAAAGATTTTGGTCACGTCCGCCACAAACTCCGTCAGCTTGCCGTAATACCGTTTCTGTACTCTCTCTTCCATCGTAGCCAGGTCTGGAAGAAGAGGGGAGCGGGAACCACACCAGAGAAGGATGGCACATCAACGCAAGCGTAATGCGCTGTATTTGTTTATGACTGGATTTGAGGGAAAGAATTTCCTTAAGTTTGCGACAAACGACACTGTAGACCGATCTTGCACATACCCATCGGTTCCTTAATGACACCGTAGTAATCTGGGGCGTCGTTGGGATCCACAGGCTCCAGGAACGGCCACGCCATTTTGTGAGCCTGCCAAGCGATATGTTCATGATGCACACTGAGCACGTGTCACCTGGGCCCTTCATTTACTCTACTCCGGGCCCTTCATTTACTCTACTCCGGGCCCTTCATTTACTCTACTCCGGGCCCTTCATTTACTCTACTCCGGGCCCTTCATTTACTCTACTCTGGGCCCTTCATTTACTCTACTCTGGGCCCTTCATTTACTCTACTCTGGGCCCTTCATTTACTCTACTCTGGGCCCTTCATTTACTCTACTCAGCCACACCTGCAGAATCCTGATATTCACAATTAGCTGTTCGCACGAAACCCAGAGATGATGTGATTGCTGGACATTAGGTCCACTTTGTTCATTACTACCGAATGTTTAGGCCAGTGTTTCTCATCCCCGGTCCTCGGGACCTTCAGACAGCCCACTTTAGCTCCCTCTCCAATGCGTTCAGTGTTGATGATTGATTGGTTTAGACATGTTGGTTGAATGAATGAATGAATGAATGAATGAATATTTCATTACTGTGTCTTGCGCATTCTGCACCCAGCCCACACTGGCTTATAAGACACCAATAGTAGTGACGCACCAAAATTTCGGCAATCGAAAATATCCGGTTGAAAAAGTCAAAAACTGAATTTTTCCCTTTAACCTTCAATGTACTTCAGCGTAAAACACCTTTCATTTTAAGTAATGGGCCCTTGGAATCGTCCAAACTACCCCTCCCCCACCTTGCCCCTGCTGGCTAGTGTTGCACCAAAATGAATTTTTTACTATTAAACGTAGCAATTTTGGTCAGTAACTTTGACCTTCAAAAAGTTGAACAAAATTGTACTGGTCTGAGCTGGGGGCCCAATGTGATGGCCTTTTATGAGGTCCAAAATCTCCAGCAACACCCCCGGTAACCAATGGTATTTTCTGTACTAAGGGGTCTTTCATAGCTGTACAATAACATAGAAGTCTTTCAAACATAACATCTAGCCTAAGAATATAAAATACAGTTTTGGGAGTCTCTAAGGTCTATGTTGAGAAACACTGGTGAAGGGTTTCATAAATCTTACGGCTACATTTGATATTTCAGTGCTGAAGCTCTCGGCCCCAAGATCAGCTCCCAAGCCGGCAGACGCCAGACCGGTCCAGCCCATGACGGTGTACCTGCAGAGAGCGCAGAATCCGCCTCAGGCCCTCGTAGTCTCTGTCGGTGAGCGGTGAGAGGACGGTCATGGTGTCCTCCGTGGACTGGCACTGCGGGCACACGTACTCGTCGATGTGTGTCGCCTCGCTCTGCAGGATGCCCACGCAGCGGCCGTGGTACCAGTTCTGGCAGCGGTCGCAGCCGATGTAGAATCTGATGAAGGAAAGCCCCAGGAAAGATGACGTTCGAGAGAGATGGGATGTTATGTGATGCTATGATGTTTGTTAGGTTAGGTGTACTGTACTAAAAAGCATGTTCACCTTCCGATACTTTAGCCGTACAATAGATTTATGGGATCGCAATCCGGGGAACATCTGTACTACTATAAACTGAAACCAAACACTAATACATTACACAGGAGTATAATGCAGAAATGCTATTACATTATAATACAGTCATATAGGAAAAAACGTGCTTGCAGCAAACATGTAGGATAAACATGCGTATATGCAGTACGTAGAGTGAATGCAGAATGAAACGTGGTAATTACTGCGACTCGTCGTATGGCGTTTGGCAGATGCAGTACAGCTCCTCCGTCTGGCCTTCCTGCGCCCGGTTGCACTCTCTGCAGACGTAGTCGTCCATTTTCTTGGCCTCCTTCTCCGTGACCCCCACGCACTCACCGTGGAACCAGTTGGAGCAGAGGTCACAGCCGATGTAGAACCTGAAAGGCAGGCCGGACACGGCCGACATGAGGATGCGTCACCGGCTGGGCCATCCTCCCATCCACCCATCCTCCCATCCTCCCATCCACCCATCCTCCCATCCTCCCATCCACCCATCCTCCCATCCACCCATCCTCCCATCCTCCCATCCTCCCATCCTCCCATCCTCCATTAGAAAGCCCACTTCACATCAGCCCAAGGGAACTGACTGAACGTCCATGCGGAAACTCCGTTTCCAACCCACAATGATGAAATCTTGGCAATAACGCGACGTTAGACGCCATCGTTGACGTTGCAGCCTTACTTCGACTCGTCGTAGGGCGTCTTGCACACGCAGTACAGCTTGGTGTCCTTCCTGGCATCTTTTGAGGTAGCGGAGATCATCTTCTTTTTCTTGGCCTTGGCATGGTCCCGGTCATCGTCGCGCTTGCGCTTCTGAGAGGAGAGGGTCGGCGAGGTGGGGCTAGGGGAGAGCGCGGCTGCTGGGGCGGGGGCCACGCCAGCCTGTGCTTTGTCCTTCTCTTTACGCAGCTTGGTGAGATCCTTCCTCAGCTCCTCCTGGAAGGGAGAGAAATAGCACCCCTAGTGGTGGTCGTGCGTCCTCCCTGTCTTCCAGGCCGTTGCCATGGAAGCTGCATAAGTCTAAGCTTGTTAAAACTAAAACAAGCTCCACCCTCCATCTGCAGCATCACGGTTAAGGACAGACTTACAACCCAAAAGTTATATCCATGAGTCCATCTTCCAAATCCTTCTACCCAATATAGGGCAATGAGGGGTCAGGGGTCCTGAAGTTTACTGGGGACAGCATATGGCACAAGGCAGGGGTACACCCTGGACAGGATGCCAGTCCATCACAGGCCAAGCAAACTATCACTCACTGACTCACTCATCAGGCAATTTAGAAACAAACGGAACATTCTACGTCACAGTGGCCGAGACACGCAACGTTGTAAGTCTTCGGAAGCACGTCCAGCAGCGGTCTACACTCCTCAGAGCTGCTCACCTGGACCTCCAGCTGCAGATCCTTGTCCAGCAGCGCCCTCTTCTGGAGGATCTCGGCCTTCAGCAGCTCCTTGTGCTTGAAGAGCAGCGTCGACAGCCGGCTGGAGCTCTGCTTACTGCGCTTCGGCTCGCCGGCCTCATCCCGCCTCCGCTTGCGAGTCGCCTGCTTCTCGTCCTTCTCGATCTTGTCCAGGATGAACTTCATCACCTGGCTGCACACGATCATTCTGTGTGTGTGTGTGTGTGTGTGTGGGGGGGGGACAACATATCAACACAATCCAACAGCATAGCACTGCGCATAGCATCTTGGGTAATAAAGGAATTCTGTCGCCTTTCTGTGATAACGTCAGTTCTTAAGCTTCTAACAGTTTAACAACGTAGATCACCAAACTAAATAGACTACAATTGCTTTGTCTCTGTGGACATGAGCTATCTAGGCTTTAGTTGTCTATTAGACCAATGTTTCCCAAACTGGCTTTGGGGACACCCAGACAATCCACATTTTTGCTCCTTCACAGACAGTCTACATTTTTGCTCCCTCCCAGATCTTAGTAGGAGCAAAAAAGTGGAGTCTGGGTGTCCCCGAGGACCGATTTGGGAAACACTGTACTAGAAAACTAACAGCTTGTTCTGGATGTTCTGACATTTAACACGTTGGATAAAAGCTTAAGTGTAATGTGACCAGATTACGACTAGGCAATTAATAGAAAATTAATCAAAACCGACATTCAGAACCTCTAAATCGACGTACTCTTGCCAATGCTAATTAGATCAAGGTAAAATGTTCAATCATGATATTGATTTGAGATCATATTGCCCAGAGTTACTACCCCAGAAAAGCACAGGCTAACGATGCAGCTCGCAGGCCCACCATGCTCATACCTCTGAGCGTCCTCCTGATCAGCTAAACAAGTTGACTTCTGCTTTAAATGCTCCATCACGCGTTCCGTCTTCAGGTTCGGCTGTAGCAGAGCGCAGGGGACACATCGCACATCAACAGCACAGTATAAAATAAATTTAAAGACTAAAAAACCAGTCAATCTATAAATGTAAAAAGACTAACAATATGACCTCATAACCAAAATGTACAGCCAGTAATAAAAAGACAAATTGTATGATTATGGTCATGAAATCAGAGACGTGACATGCAGAGTGATGTGGTTGTCATGGTAACCCCCACCTGCAGCTTGACGCTGCCTCCTCGTTCCTGCCGAACCTCTGGCTGTTTCTGGCCACTGGCAGCCTGGGTGGCCCCCAGCCCGGGTCCCGGCTGGATTGGGATGGGCTGCTTCGGCCGGATCTGCTGGGGCTGGAGCCGGAGACCCAGGTGCAGGGGGGTCTGGGGGAGAGCCTGCCGCATAACGACAAGGCCAGGCTGGCCTAGGGGGGCTTGTGCTGGGGTGGGGGCAGCCAGGACACCCTTCACCTGAATCTGAGTGGAAGGAAGCGGGACCGCTGCCGTAGTGGGCAGAGGCGGAGGGGCCGATGTGAGAGCCAGGTTTGGGGCGACCATCTGCGGGGGGGCAGCAAGAGGGTCTGCCTGGGTAGAAGGAGCAGCCGGCTGCAAGGCCTGGGGGGCAGGTGGTGTCTGTGGCAAGGGCGGGCTCTGCACCGGGAGCTGCAACTGCGTGGGCTTCTGCTCCGGCTGCACTGCTGCAGAGCAAAACAGATAGCCATGTCACATGCTAACATGCTAAGCTAACAGGACTAATTAATGTTAATTCAAGTGAAAAGTTGTATTTGATCAAACCCTAGCTGCGTCTCTTTGCAACATGAAGAAGAATACTGAAACTATATTGCCATGTTTCTCAACCCAGTCCTCAGGGACCCCCATTTTTGCACCTACCCAGCTCCAGATACATTTGAACCAGGAATTCTGTGTTTTTGATTGGCCGACAGCTGGGAGGAAGCATAAATGTTGCGGGACCTCGAGGACCTGATTGAGAAACACTGATCTAAGCCGTAAATATGGTGGAAGGACTACAGGAATGAATCGTCCTCTGTTTCGGTAATGAAGTGGCAAGAGGCATCACCTGGTGTTGAAGGCGTGGCGGCGGAAGGGGGTGCGGCTGTTGTAGTGGGGGCAGGCACAGCCACAGTGGTGGGTGTGGGCACAGCAGTGGGCGTGGCCACAGTGGTGGGCGTGGTCGGGGGAGCCGGCGTGAAGAGAAAGCGCTGGAGCTGGCCGTTGGGCATGGCGGCCTGCATGAGCTGCTGGCCTGGTCCTGGGATGACGGTGACCCCCTGAGGGATGAGCTGCAGCTGGCCGGTGGTCTGGCCCTGACCCTGGATCACCACCGTCAGGCCCTGGCCTCCTCCCTGATAGATACCGGCAAGAACCACATGTGTGAACAGTTTTAGGGAGCATTTCTACCACACCAGGTACTGTACTTTTGGTACTTCAAGCTGTTGATTTTCCAATGCCATAAAAACTGGTTCTGGAGCTGGATGACATCACAAGGCGAGGTATTTTGTACTGATTTTGAAAAATGGCTGTAGGATATAATAGGGCTGGATGATGTGCGATGTTCAGCACGAGCAATTCTTACATCGATAATCATAACTTTTTCCGAAACGGCGGTTGTATTACTTTTCAGATGAAGGCTATTTGCATAACCAACTGAAACAAAGTGTTTTCAAGTCCCACACCAAAGTACCGAAATACCAAAAAAGTACCCCAGCTGGTACTGAAACTGGAAGGTACTGGTACTTGAACTTTTGAACTAGTATTCGTCCAGAAGTAAATGGAAAAGGAAAAGTACAGAAAATAACGTGCCAAAAGTGCAGTACCTGATGGGGTGGAAGAGCGACATTAGCGAAAAGCGAATACATCCTTAGACAGAGAGACCCACCCCACGCCCTCCTCACCTGTGCACCTTGGGTGAGCTGGGTAAGCTGGGCCAGGGTGAGTCTGACTTGCCCCTGCTGGGGTCGGGGGGTCTGGGGAGCCGAGCCTGGGGATGTGGAGGCTGCAGATGTCATGGCGGGGGGACGAGGGGGTGTGCTTTGCGCAGAGGTGGCCGGGGAACATGGAGCGCCCCGGACAAGCTGGCCTGGTGTGCAGTGATGCGTCAATAACGTGACCAGCCGAATCACAAGCGCAACCAGCCAAATTACGCAATCTGAGACCCCAGCCACACTGATACTGGACTTACCAGTGGGAAGGAGACCAGGCTGGACCACCAGCGGGGTGGAGATGATCGTCTTATTCAGACCGGTACTCTGCTGCAGGGGGCTTCGGATCACTGCCATACCGGGCCGGATCTGAGCACCACCCGGGACCATCTGGGGAGGAGTCAAGGCACTCAGACAAACACTCCAGTTGACACGGACTCAAAAGTCCAGCTGCAGTACTGGAACAATTCATCATCGTATTACTTTATAAGAAGGCCTCTCATAATTAAGGGGACTTTGCTCAGAGTGCCTGGGACGGTGGGAGGCCTCAAACCTGTGGCGCAGGCACTGCTCCGGGCCGGAGGCCCACGGTCGTACTTCGCGGCTGGATGGAGGTAAAGCCGTGCGTGCCACCGGTGGTGCTGGATGGGATGATGCCCAGGACCTTCTGTTGTACCATGCCTGGTGACCATGGCAACCAGTCACGTTACTTTCACTTAGATACATTACTATACCAATCACACAGGGGTACTGCTTGTTAAAGGGGGTACTACACTGAATCCTCAAGTGGGACACAAACTGACATCAGTCTGGATTTGATTGCTAGTTCATCCCACTTTAGTTCCATGGAAACAAAGCGTGTTTCTCAACATGAATACTTGACCGTATTTGTGTTCTCGTCTACCCGTTTGACCTTCCATTGCCGAAGACCAGTTCTAATACTCAAGAACAGAAGTACAGAGGAGGGTAAAAATCACCAGATGTCATTCTTGCCCCGGCCCAAAAATCAAGGACATATCGGTTGCATCCTCACCAGACGAGATCAACCCCATGATTCACCACACCCAAAGCTCATTTTTGGGAGGCAGGTTTGAAAGACTGGTCTTACAAAGACCACAAGTATGATCTTTGTGTTACTGGTATGGAGAAACACTCATTATTTCTCCATCTCTATTGTAGAATCTGTATGTGGAACAGTCAAAGGTCACAAACCTGAGGACCTTACCTCCTTGTGCACTGGGTACATTGACAGTCACGATCTTGCTGTTGGCCGGTAGGGAGAGAACTTTTCCAGCCACTGATACCGATGTGCCTGACACCTGCAAAGTCTGTCCTGAGATGGTCGAGCTCGTGGATGCAGTGGAGATGGCAGTGGCATTGACTGTAGAAGAGGTGGAAACTCTGGGGTCACTGCATTTGTCCAAATAAAAATAACTGTTGTGTCCATCGTTAGTTATGTACGCCTTTTGATTACCAAGCGTAACCATAAGAAGTCAACTAGTCCCATTACCTTGTGTATACGGTTTCTGCAGTCCAAGAACACACATACACTCACCTGGGCTGCTCTGACCTTGCTTGACCCAGGAAGCGAATGTCTGCTGGAAGTTCTTGCCCTGCTGGAAGGTGACGGCGGGGGAGCCCACCTTTGAGGTCAGGACCAGCTTGGAGCCGGGGGTGACGGCACCCGTCAAGGAGCCCACCAGCACCTTCTGTGGGGTGGAGACTGGTGTGGCACTACCGGAGGCAGGTTTCTGCAGTTCCAGGCGTTTCTGGAACACAGGAGTTCAAACGTTTGGATACTGAGAATGCATGGCACTAATGCATGGCACTAATGCATGGCATCGCCTCAAAAAATAATTCACACAAGTGAATATAGGACATCAGGTAAAGATGTCTGTGGGGGTGACATGTGGCTTTGTGGGTTAGGCCTCAATGCCTGAGTTCATAAGTACAAGCAGCCTTCATCTATCAGGTCTGCTTACCCATTATTTCCTACCAAGCAGAGCCAGCTATACTGCCAAGCACCACAAGATCATTAGGGAGCCTCCAGACTTTGTTGCTTCATTGCTAGCTTAGGTCAGGTATACTATGCAGGCTGATCCAGGAGGCTACGCTAAGTTGCAAGGTCGCAATGAGGCACACAGCGTGTGTCTGGCCTTCCCACCTGCTGAGCAGCCAATCTCTGCTGCTTAAGCTGAGCCTCCAAGTTGGCCTTGTACTCCTCTGCCTTCTTCTGCACACTAACCTTTGCCTGGTCCGCCGCAGAAGCCTTCTCCCTGTCCACCCTGCCATGGAAGGAAAAGACGGCTATCAGAGAATGCCTCAGGACACAATGCATTGAGATGAGAACCAAAGTAGTGGAACAATTATGGGACAGAGTCCCCAAAGAGAACCTGCCTTTCTGAAATTCAGTGTATAAGGCTTTGGGTTTCGACTGCAGTCCAATTTAAACCCCCTACCTTTCAGCAAAGGCTCTGATCTCCCACAGCTCCAGTTCTTCCTCTGTTACCCATTTCTCAAGCACCACCGGGCCCATCTGCCTTGGCGAATCCAGCTTCTTGGGCCTCAGAGCACTAGACCGGAGGCCCTTCCTCTGAGGAGTGTGAGCTTCTTTGGGGTTGCAAAGGCAGGAGAGGAAACATGTCAGATACACTGAGAGGATCCAAATGATGGGTTTTCTTCATATCTCCGTTTCAGCAACTCGAACAATGTTATAAAATCTAACTGACTGGACATGTGGATCAAAAGCTAAAGGAGCTTGATGAACAAAGAATCATGTAAATCCAGAAGAAAAGCCCACCCTTAGGAGACGCAGCTACGCCTATGGGGCGGATGACCTTCCGGACGAGGTACTCTGACCGTATCCCATAAGGCCCCACATCTCGGCGCTTGATAACCTCTGTGGTGGTGATCTCGGTCTCTGATGTTTCTGTGGTAAGGAGCGGGGGACAGTCTGCGTGTGAGTAGAGGTTTTTCGTGGCCCGGCCCCCAGAAACCTCAGAGCCGTGAAGCACAGGAGGAATGGGATCACCCACCCGAGCGAGCCACAGTGTGCATCGGGGCCCTCACGGCCATGTCGTCCCACCTCAGGCAGGCCCAGAGCAGTCGAAGCATCAGGCTTACCCCTGCCAGAGAGCGGACCGTCTGGAGCCGGTACCTGCGTGGGGCACCGGGAAAACGTGTCAGTTAACGGTCGGATGAACTACAGTGTGGATCTAATATGAAACTCATGAAGTGCACAGCTCTACCAGAATGAACCATGACTCTACTGAGGTCACTGTAGCAGGACTAGAAAGCAAGTCGTAATACTTGTTTTGGTCTATGGATCAGTCTGTACTCTGCAGCTCATACATCTACTAAGAAGAATTTATCCTTTATCTTCCCTACAATCAATGTTTTATAGTGTCAGTGATTCATGGGAACCGATGGTTAGAAACCATGAAAGAGCAGTCTTTCAGAAATATTTCAACATACGATTATTTAAAAGTTATTTAAACACCGATAGACTAGGATAGTATCCAACAACATCATTTTGAGAGAAAAAAAAAATTCAGAGATAGTCAGCAGGTCTGAAAGGCACCTATAGAGATACAACCTTGTTGACTTTGAGAACTTCTTTCCTAGCCATAGTGGAAGAAGTAAAGACAACTAAAGGCCAAAGCCAATAAAAAACAAAAAAAAAATCTGAAAAATCAACACAAACAACATGCCAACCTCCAGGTGATGCTAAACGTGGGTCGTGGGGAGGGGTAGGGCCAAATGTCCAAGGCAGGCTTGGCATTGTAGTTGAAGATGGGCACCTCCCGGATGCCCCCTTGCCTGGCCAGCTTCCTGAGTTCGTCGTTGGGTAGGACAAAGATGCTCTTCTTGCTGCTTTTGGTGACAAACTTGCGGTAGGAGGGCAAGGCCGTGCCTGAGCGGGCCTTCTTGGAGCGCGAGAACCTGAGGAGTCGGACCCGGTCCTTAGTGGAGTACTCCCGGCTCACGGTCATGGTGGTCGCACCTCCCCCGGTCACCGTGGTGGTGACAGTAGTGCTGGTGGTAGTGAGCATAGAAAGAGCTTTATTTTCTGATATGGACACTACAGCGGGCGTGCCACCAGAATCCTTGGATACCGCGACTGCCTTGGAGATGGTGGTAGTGATGGTTGTCATTGTTGTGGTAACTTGTGTGATGGTTGTCTTTGGTGCCTCGTCGTTACTGGTCACTGATGTGGGCTCACTGCTGTGATTGCTTAGAGACACACTGTTGCTGAGGCTGGACTGTCCTGCAGGTGGCACTGTTGACGAGGCCAGCTTCAGTGCCACCGATTCGTCCCCCTCCCCCACACAATCTTTCTTGGTGTCATCACACTCCTCAGACGCCCTACTAATTACTGACGAGACATCGGAATTCAGCAAGGTGCCAGAGGAAGAGGCCAGCTCTTTGACACTGTTCTCCAGACGAGGAACCTTTTGAGCAGGTGAATACTCCGTATTAGACAGTGTTGTGTTACTCTTTTTATCGACAATGGAGTGAGAGGATGACTGGTGTGAGAGCAGGTCCCCGTTCATTAGTAGTTTAACAGCATCCTGAGCTGGAAGAACTTTTATCTCATTTCCTGAATTCTGGTTAGCTCCCTTTTCCTCAATGTCTTTGTCAAAGTCTAGCTTTGAGGAAGCTTCTAGAGGTAATGTACAGTCTAACAGAGTCTTATTCTGAAGGGAATCATCCCCATTTACCTGAACCCCAAGGGGCAGCTGGGATTTTACAGCCGATTCATCATCTCCACTCTTGTCAACGTCCATACTTTCATCCTGTAAACACCCATTTTCTTCACCATTCTGCCCAGTGAAAACTGGCCCCAATTTCCAGTCTTCAGGACAATGTACCTTCTCTGTTCCCGCAGATTTCTGGTACTTGGAGAACTCCAGGGTCCCCACAGTCAGTTCTGATTTACTCTCAGAGTTCAGCCCAGGTAAAATGTCTGTCCCTTTCAAGGACCCTACATTAAGTTCCGGAGATGGTGTCGACATGGTCGACGGCAAGGCCGTACTCCCACCATTTCTCTCGTTGATAGACTCGTATTCAGGCACACAACGATCCTCGGATACATTTTGATCATTACAAGCTGAACTCGGACTGCCAATCGCTTGTGAGTTTTGGGATGTACTATCTTCCTGCTTAGACTGGCAATTAACTTCCTTCACTGGTGATCCAGGACCAGAGGACTCCTTGGACTGTTTTTCCTCTTCCTCCTGACTCACTTGTTTTTCGGTACCAGCTGCAGATGCAGTTCCTGAGTTCACAGCTGAGGGAACAACCAGGCTCCCCACCTTCATTGAAGTGACTCCAACCTGTCCGTCACCCGCTACCGAACCATGCTGGTCCGGGCCCCCCGCTCCCGACTCCACTTGCGTAGCCGTTTGGCCCCTGAATCGCTCGTAGCGCTGCTTCTCCTCCAAGGTGAACTGGTGGACACGTCGCTCCAGCAGGCCATCAAGCCTGGAGGCTTTTACCTTCCTCTTGTAGGCGGTGCGCAGCTGAAAGCCCTCGCTCACATTCACCACATCAGCACAGAAGAACTTCTCCACCACGTCTCCTTTGTCTTCCTCCTTCTTTGCATCAACATCCAATGGAGACGTGCTAGAAGTCTCACTTTTTCCTGGAGAGAGAGAGAAAGAGAGAATCGTTGGTATCAAAACTTAAGTCAAGATGACCAAAACATTTGATCACCATATGCAAGGAGGTACCATTTTCTTCAATGCATTTGGAGTTGGAGATGCCAGTGTCCATTCCTTCAGCCTCCGGCCCCTCTGCTCGTGCCTCGGTGGTCTCTCCAGCCTGCCCCTCAGCCTTGATATCTATCTTGTCTAGGGGCTCATCTCTTGACAGCCCAGCCACACCCTCTCCACCCTCTTCTTTCTTGCCAGATATGGGGCTCTCAGGAGATCCCCTTGGAGACTTCCGGTCCTCTTCCCTTTTCGATTCGCCTGCCGCAGAGTCTTTGATGGGGCTAGCCCTCTGTTCAATGCTCACATCTGGGCTGGACGCAGTGTCTGGGTCAGACTCTGCGCTCTGCTTGATCTTGGCAGCTGAAATAAGAATCAGAGAGGCCAACAAACCCCAAACATTAAAATGCACAATCCAGAAAGAAATGCTACTATATTCATGTTCAACAAAGAACTGCTAGTGTGGAAAAGCAGCAGGATGAGACTGACCCTCCAGAGCTTTGCGATAGTTGACGTTGGTGTTGCCTGGCAGCCGGGGAACGAAGCGAGGTACATGGGTCTTACTGACCCAGCTCCAGCCTCCATACCCTGTCACCCGGTACTCCTCTCCCTTCTGCTTCCAAACCTTCACATATGGACAGACAGGAGGATTATTTATATGTAATAACTGCAATCTCAGTAAAAGCTAAGATGCAGTATCCATGGCGTGCCTCTGCTGGATGCCCTGTGCTGTCTGGGATAGGACCCAGGGACTATATAAGTGGTCAGGAGAATAACAGATTTGGAGAATAACAGCATGCAAAATAATGGGTAACGATTCTACATATTACAAGGCATCTCAGTAGAAATCAGACTTCCGCCACAGATGGGTGAAAGCACGACATACCTGGTGTTTGATGGGAAAGGTATATTTCACCCAGGTGGCCTGCTGCATAGTCTCTTCCTCTTCTAGCTTTCTCTCTTTCTTCTTCGTCTTCTCCTTCTCTTCCCGCTCAATGGAGGTCATCCGGTGTAACCTGTAGCAAGAAACGGCCAAAATGACACATTCATTCACAGTGGTACTCAAGAGGCATTCAACACAGGGTACTTGCTGCAAAAGCCATGTTAGGAGATAAAGTCTAGGAATGTATTCTCTTAAAGAGAAGAATGCATGATTTAGTGCAGTATTCCCCAACCCGGTCCTCAGGGACCAACAGACGGTCCATGATTTTACTCCCTCTCAGTTTCCTGTCAGACAGCATTAATTTTTGCTCCCTCCTGGTAGAGAGCTGGGAGAGAACAAAAACATGGACTCTCTGAGTGCTTGAGGACCAGATTAGGAAACACTGATTTAGTGAATGGAGAGAAATCTGGTGCAGAGACTCATCAGCGTTGCATTAGCTAATCACCCAGATGAACACAGGTTTCTTGCCTGGTGTGTCCCAGAGCATCCTTCCACACAGGCAGCATGACCACTGGCTTGATGGCGCACTCCAGGATGGACAGGGCCAGAGCGAACTCCCGAGCTCTGCTACACATCTGCACCGCCTTAATCCAGTTTGACCTGCCAGCCAATCGGAATGAAGGTTTGACTGGATGGGCCGATACCTGATTAGTCAATGAACTGTCTTTAGGCAGGATGCTGGCTGTGACCATAAGGTTCCCTGGTATACCTGTGAGAGGCCCAGTTGGGGTGCATGAAGGGGGCAGGAATGTTGTTCTCCAGTTGGATGATGGTCAGCCTCAGCGTGGAGATGGTGAGAACCTTGGAGCCATGCACCGAGCCGTTCCACTTGAACTCGCCCGCTTGACTCATGCAGAACTTGTGGGTCAAGTGCCGCCGCTTGTCATGGTCCTCACGGTGCTGGTGCTTGTTTAGGGCCAGTGTGTTACTACTGTATTGGTTCTGAAAGACCCGGTACTTGCCCTCCTGGCCCAACTTGAAACCAGCGCTTTCCTTCACTCCAGAGTCCTTCCTGGAACCATTGGTGCTGGCAGGATCCCCCAGGGAACCAAAAATGGACACCTGGAGAAATGCAAACTCTGCTGGCTTTTCTTCAACAGACAAAGATGTACATAGATATACTATGCTTGGGCAGTATCTAATTTCTCATACCGTCATTCCATCCTTATATCATACTGCGATATATGGCATTTTGGCAGCATTTTCAAAAGCAACATTTTTCTGGTATTTTGGTATCCCTATGACATATTTCACTGTGCAAAAATTCTGGGGTATACCCAAAAATCCACAGTATACCCCAAATACCAAGGTATACCATATCACAATACCAGCCAATCCTACATGGTATACCATATTACCACAATACCAGCCAATCCTACATGGTATACCATATTACCAAACAATATTCTTGGCAGACAGTTTGA